TGGAGAAGGACCTGATGGGCCCACAAGCTGGCTCACCAGGAGTAAAAGGGGTTACCAGGCATGTTTCCAGTGTCTGCCTTTCCTTGTTTAGGGGACAGCCAATCACACAGGGCTTCCTAGCAACCCTGCTTTCCATCTCCTCACTCTCCCCTGGTTATGTAACAGGAATTTTGTAGCAGCCTCACTGGGCAGACACATGGCTATTTTCCTTTGTTAAGATGCCCTCTGTGCTCCAAATGGTAAAGCTTTAACCACCTCCTCTCCCTTTTTTTTTTTTTTTTTTTTGCTCTCTTACCTTTTGTAATTAGAGCACAGAACAAGCAACTTATTTTTAAACCACTAACTACCAGAAAGCTGAGAGAGGTTAAGGAGAAGCCTGGGATTTGAGAGAGGTATATAGAAAAGGTAGCCGGAAAGGGGACACTAGAGAAAACCAGGAAAAAAGAAGTGCATCAGCCAGAAAACACTATATTTAGCAGGCAGGAAGATGGAATACCATGACTTCCTAGAACTGGCCCACTCACACACTCACATGTGCAAGCTTCTTCGTTTGGGGGTGGGCAGTACCAGGGCCTTACACATGCCAGGCAAGTGCTCTATCCTAAAACACATATCCAACTCTTACGTTCAAAGCTTAGAAGTCCTTGTCTAGAAAATTTTTCTTCTTTCTTTTTTTTGTTTTGGTACAGGGATCGAACTCTGGACCTTGCACTTACAAGGCAGGTGTGGCGCCACTGAGCTAAATTCCCAGCCCTCTTCTTTCTTTTTTTGATGTTTTGAGACAGTCTCACTATGTAGCCCAGGCTGGCCTCGAACTCTTAGCAATCCTCCTGCCTCAGCCTCTGGAGTGCTGGGATTACAGACATGTACCACCAGGTCCGGCTGGAAAATTATTCTAAGAGCAATGTACTTGTTCATTTTTTCTCTAGGCTAAAATACAACGTATGGGACACATACTTCCAAGATAAAAAAGGAACAGAAATACAGCTCTCTAAAGAGTGAAATCTAAGGGTCTAGGGATTTGGCTTAGTGGTTTTGCTACCTGCCTTGCAAGCGCAAAGGCTCAAGTTCAATTCCCAGTACCACTGCTCCCCAAAAGAAAGAGTGACTCTAGGGCTGGGGATTTATCTCAGTGGCACCACGTCTGCCTCATAAGCACCAGGTCCTGGCTTCAATCCCCTGTACCAAAGGAGGGGGGGGGAAGTAAATCTATACTAACAAAGTATCCTTTAGCTGGGCATGGTGGCCTATATATATTTCCAGCACTCAAGTGGCTGAGGCAGGAGAACTGCCATGAATTCAAGGCCAATCTAGGTTACATAGACTCTGACTTAAAAAAAAAAAGTATCCTTCCCAAAGATTACACAAATCATTACTAAACATTTTCCCCAAGCAAGTTCCTTCCAACTTCTTGCTCTAGTTTTCTAGACAATCTGGCCTCAAAGTTTAAATTTTCAAAATTCATAAGGAAGGCTAAAAGAGATTAAACCAGGTTCTGAATCTCTGTGCCTGAATTTATTCTTTTACTTTTTTAAAAAAATTTTTTTTCTTTTTTCCTTCTTTTTCTTTTACTTTTTTAATCATTCATCTTCGATTTGGCCTAATTCTTTCTTTTTATTTATTTATTTATTTTTGGGATTGGGGATGGAACTCGGGTTCTTGCACTTGCGAGACAGGTGGCAGTTTTCTTTTCTTTTTTTCTCAGAAATCGAACTCAGGACCTTGGCACATGCCAGGCAGATGCGGTGCCACTGAGCTACATCCCTCGCCCCCAAATTCCTTCCTTTTTTTTTTTTCCCCTTTCCTTTTTAATCAATGTAAATTGTGTGTGGGAGGGGAGTTTCTTCAAAACTTACTGTTGCTGTGCGTGGTGGTGCATGCCTGTAATCCCAGCACTCAGGAGGCTGAGGCAGAAGGATTGCTGTGAGTTCAAGACCAGCTTGGGTTACATAGTGAGTTCCAGGTCAGTCTCAACTATGTAGTGAGACTCTGTCTCAAAAAACCAACAAACAGAAACAAACAAAAAAACCACAGAAAAACAAAAACAAACCCCCAAAAATAACAACAAAAAACCCCACAAAACTTATTACTTTGGTGTCTCAACCCCTGAAAGAAAAAGTAGTACTACTATGCATCTTATCTAAGGTACCTAACAGAGTGCCAAGCAATACAAGAGTTTTGGGATAATTTAATATATCCGCTTGGACCATCACTTCTTTACTTCTCTCCCCCCTCTTTCAGACAGGATCTCATTATGTAATTCTGGCTGGTCTAGAACTCAAGGCAATCCTCCTGCCTCAGCCTTCTGAGTGCTGGGATTACAGGTGTGAGCCACCATGACTAGCGATTTTTTTTATGAGGCTGGGGATGGGAATCAGGGCCTTGCACATGCTGGGCACTCTACTATTGAGCTATATCCCCAGCCCTGGAGTGCCAACCCCTATCCACCTGTACTGGGGACTGAACCCAGGGCTTTGCACACAGGTACATTCCAACTCTCTTTTTTTTTTTTGAGACAGGGTCTCACTACATCATTAACTTGCCCAGGCTAAGCTTGAACTTGCAATCATCCTACCTCAATCTCCCAGATTTCAGGGATTATAGGCAGGTGCCACAACACAGCTGTCAGCACTGATAGCTTTTTTTTTTTTTTTTTTTTTTTTTTTTTTTTGATACCAGGGATGGAACTTGGGACCTTGTGCTTTCAAGGCAGGTGGCAGTACCACTGAGCCAAATCCCCAGCAGCACTGATTTTAAATGAAATGAGTGTCGGGGTTTGGCCTTAAAAAGAGATGAAATGGGGCCAGGGATTTAGCTCAGTGATTCTGCCGCCTGCCTTGCAAGTGCAAGGACTTGAGTTCGATCCCCGGTACCAAAAACAAACACAGATGAAATTGCAAGGAATCCCAAGTTCATCTAAAATTTTAATTACAATAAAAGAGACAGCAAAGTATGATGGTGTATGTCTGTAACTTCAGTACTCAGGAGGGTAAGGTAGCCTGGGCTACATAGCCAGTGTAAAGTTAGCCTGGACTACACAGTGAGACCCTGTCTCCAAAAAAAGTTTTTTTTGGTACCGGGGATTGAACTCAGGTCCTTGTGCTTGCAAGGCAGGCCACTGAACAGCTGAGCTAAATCCCCGGCCCCAAAAGTTTTGTTTTTTTAGGAGAGATTTGAAAACCAATTTTTCAGAATGAGATTTGAGATAGTATGAGGCCAAGCAGCCGAAGGTATCTAAATGTGCCTCTCCTTTCTGCCATGTATTTTTACCTCATTTACCACCTACTTGTAGCAGTATCAGGAAGGGTTTGAGATAAAAGGAAAAACAAAGAAAAAATGAGAAAAGCAAAAACCTACTACAAGATATTGGCCAAATAAGAATTTGGGAACATGGGCCAGGGATTTAGGTCAGTGGTTCCAGTACCTGCCTCACAAGCAAATACATATATATATACACACACACACATACACACTGTAAAATGACTATCATACATCCCTCCATTACCAGAAAAACTAGTAAATAATTCAATAATATATACCATAGAATATTGCACAGAAAAGATGTGTGCTTTATGTTTCTCTATAGCAGTGGTTGCAAACCTATGGAATGTGTGCTGCAGTGCACTGTTTGTATGATTGAAAAGCTCTAAATGGTTTAATATCACTGCTCTATACCATTCCATAATTGCATGTGAAACATATCTTCGTAGGCTTTGCTTTTTTAAAAAAATAAAGTGTATTTTTCATTTCATTTTATTTGTTTAGTTTTGCAGTGCTGGGGATTGAACCCAGGGCCTTGTGCATGCTTGGCAAGCATTCCACTGCTGACTACACCCCCAATCCTCTTGTAAAATAAATCTACCACATTAAAAACCTTCTATGAGAGGACCAATCCATATAATGTCAAGATCCCGTTTTCTACCACTCTTTCATACTTTAGTCCTACACACACTTGTTTCTCAAACTCTGCTTCATATTGAGAAAACAATGAGTGAGGCATGTCGGAGAGTGGAAACTGTTACAACTGGTGAAAAGAGAAGGCTAAGAAATTGTTGCTTGAGAAATTGAAATGGTAAGGCATTATCAGGCCTCTTCTCTATCTCACTGTCTAACATTCAAAAACCTTTTGGGCTAGGGATGAAACTCAGTAGTGTAATATTTGCCCAGCAGGTGCCAAGCCCTGGGTTCATTCTCTAGCACTGGAAATACAAGACAGTAAAACCAGACCTTTCAATAAAACCCTTCCATTCCAGCTAGTTTAGTTCCATCTATGTATTTTCCTTAACCTTCCTCAAAACTTGTAATGGCAGCTGGGGAGGTGGGGGTGGCGGCACACTCCTGTAATCCCAGCACTGGCGAAGCTGAGGCTGGAGGATCGCTGTGAGTCACAGGTTCACGTGCACCAGTCAGTTCAAGGACAGCCTCAAAAACCCGAAAACTTGTAACATATTTCCATCTCTTGCTTGTTTCCCAGATCTTAATCTGAATTCATCTTTTCCATTAGTCTTGTCCCCCAAGGATCATTCCTTCAGTTATTTACTATGCACTATGTCCTTGCTTTCTAGCAACTTCACACCTTAATTTGTCTTTTGGACCCTTTTCAGTCTTGGACAAAAGTCAGGTTCATCATCAAAGAAGTGATGATTGCTTGTTGAATACACTTCATAAAGTTAGGTTTCAGGAAGAATTTTTTGGGGGGAACACCCCTACCTCACTTTTAATTTAGAGATAAGCTCTCACAAAGTTGCTAAATTGTGCAGGATAGGAATAAACTTTCAATCCTCCTACCTCAACATCCAGAGTCCTCCAATTACAGGCAGTCACCACCACACCCAGCAAGAACTTCATTTTTAAGAAAATAAACGTAAGGGGTGAGAAGTTTCAAGAGACTAAACGCCCTAGGTTGGCACTGGATTGAGAACCTATGACGGGGCAGGAAGAGAATGACCATTATACTTCCCAGAGAGTTGATCTAGGCTCGCTGATCCATTAACAGTTACCTGTTTAGTGTCCTGTATGCGCCTTCCACGTTCCCTTCTTGAACCATCACAGTCCTGGCAATGAACTTCAGATGTTTTGCCATGACCTGATTTAAGTCTTCACTCTGCAGGACCTACACAAAGATCAGGTAGGAAAACAAAGCAATAGAATACATACATTACTGCGTGTTTTAGTCAATCCTGAAAAGGGAAAATGCTCAAGGACACGAGAGACAGGGCAAGTGGATGTCTTCAAGTCTTAGAAAGTAGGCGCGAATCGTTGAGACTCCCTGTCCTCTTTGCTAACAGAAACCCGAGCCCACGGAAGAGAGAGCCGCCGGGCTTCACCTGCGAGACTTGCTCTGCGGACCCGGGAGGACGGAAGAAGCAGGGACGCGCAGCAGGGCCTCAACTGCCGTTCACTGGCCGAGAAGTGGCTGGACTGCAAGGTGAGAAAGGAGTCTTTGTCGGCTCTTAAGAAAGGGAAACAGCGCGCAAACCATTCCCTCCCGCTGCACACCTTTCTTCACTAACCCGGGCTCCAGCTCCTCACTCCGAGGCGTGAGGCTTCAGCGGACCCGCAGCCCGCCCGCAACCGGAAGCGGAAACTACGGAAGCCCCAGAGCCGCTCCTGAAGCCGCGAGTGAAGGGAGACTTCTCGGGGCCCGGAAACGGTGGCAACGTTCTTTCCATCCTAGGTTGGCTCCTCTCTTTGACCTAGGGCCTGAACTCTACACCTCATAAAGCAAAATAGTCATTGATCCAAATCTTGCGGCAAGAAGTTTCTGGTCTTTCCACGGAGTCTCAGTCTGGCCTCTGAGGTCATCCCGATTCTATACCCTTAATCCTATTAAACCTCTAATAGAAATTTAAGCGATTTCTTTCTGTGGATGGGAAATGAGAGAAATGGACAAAGCTTCTTGAGCATGCTTCCTGTTTGTCTTTGGAAAGAGCACAGATCTACTCCCTGGGCGAAAGTCACACTCTTCGTCTGCCTACCAGCTAAGGAAAAGGACCAAATGAACACGTCATTTCACTAAGTCATCATCTTCCTAGTCATTTCACTAAGTAAATTGAAATCATTGAAGACATGGGAAACGCCTACAGGTTTTAGAATCAAAGACTTTTATGTCAGTTTTGCCATTTACTTCCTAGTAAGACTGAGTAGAAAAAACTGCCTTTTTTATTTCTTCTACACTGTGGGGACAGTCTTCCTTTTTTTTTTTTATACTTCTACATATCCTTTAGTTCCGATCTAGTGACTATAGGAAGACGTAGCTCCCCTGCTAAACACACAGGTACATCTCTATCAGTTATGCTAAGTGGAACTCACACTAAAGCCAGGTCCAAACTACCAACCTATGGACAGACTGCGACGTTATTATGCTTATCAACAAACTTAAACTCTTGCCAAACTTAAACTCTCAATCTATTTCCTCATCTGTAAAATGGCACTATCTGTCCTGTTGATCTCAGAGAATTTGTCATGGAAATAAAAAAGAGAAAATATATTTTCCAAGAAAGGGATAGGGAATGTGACATTTTTGAGAGCCTACTATATATGAAACCCTGCACTAGGTGCTTTCTGTACATGATCCAACTTGATGGAATTCAAGGCCAAAGATTAAGCCTATATAGCATGTTTAGCAGAAGAAAGTCAGGGAGAGATTTTAGCTAGTTATGGGATGAGGTGTATGGTTTAGTTAACAAGCAGAAAAGGATAGTCAAAGTAAACATCATGAACAAGGCTTTTGTTTTTGTTTGGTTTGGTTTTGTTTTTGACCAGAACCGTAACAAGACTTTATTATGGGGAGGATCTGCCAGGCTGTCTCTGAACAAAGGAGAGAAAGCTGTTTTATTTTTTTTTTTTGGTACTGGGAGTTGAACTTGGGACCTTGCATTTGCGAAGCAGGTGGTGGCATCACTGAACTAAATCCCCAGCCCTGTTTCTGTTTGTTTGTTCTGGTACCGGAGATCCAACTCAGGACCTTGTTCATGTGAGGCAGGCGGCCTTGTTTTGTTTTTTGAGACACTGTTTAGTTCACTGTGTAGGTCGGCCCTGAACTCACTATGTAGCCCAGGCTGGCCTCGAACTTGTGGCCATCCTCCTGCCTCAGCCTCCTGAGTGCTGGGACTACAGGCGTGCGCCACCATCCGAGTTCGATTCTCGGTACCAAAAACAAAAAGCAAAAATCTGGAAGCTGTACATATATAAAGAACAAAATAGAAATAAAACTGTCCAGCAGATATTTATATATTCAGTGTGCCTTCTCAGGGAACAGGTCAGGATTAGAGATGAAGATTTAGCAGTCATCTAATCATATACCTATAATCCCAGCACTCTGGGAAGCTGAGGCAGGAAGACTGCAAGTTTGAGGCCAGCTTATATAGAGAGACCCTGTCTCAAAAAAAAAAAAGGTGAGGGAGAAGTGTGGAAGTAGCTCCCCGAAAAGCTCTGGGTTCAATCCCTAGTACTGTCAAACAAAAACAAAACAAAAAACTAAAATAAGATGGACATTATGATATATGCCTCTAATCCTATTCAGGAGGCTGAGGCAGGGTTGCAAGTTTGAGGTCAGCCTGCATAGCGAGACTCCATCTCAACAATAAAATAAAAATAATAAATACTAGACTAGAAAGATTGTGCAAGAAGGAAGAGGGAGAAATTAGAGACCTCAACTAAGTAATTTGGAATTTCTTCCATGGCATTGGAGAGCCAATCAAGAATTTGGACAGAGAATGATACATAAAGCACGATTCTGGGACAATTAATCTGGTTATCAGGAAGAAGGCATTAGAAGTAAGATCTATAATAAGTGTCTAGACCAAAGTGGTGGCAAAGCGGATAGGAAGAAATGGATTTTAAGAGACATATCAAATAAAGAATAAAAAAGATTTAGTACCTAAATGGCACCAAGTTCTAAACTGTTATGTAGAAATGTTGGTACCTGAATGTAAATGTACCGTATGCCTAAAATGTACCAATAAAAGAATTTAAGAGGAAAAAATAAAATAATTAACAACAACAACAACAAAGAAAATGTTGGTACCAAACACAGCAGAAAAACAAGAGGGCCAGGGATTTAGCTTAGCAGTGCTGTACCTGCGTGTCAGGTGCAAGGTCCTGAGTTCCATCACCAGAGCTGGATGAGGGGGTGGGGGTGGGAAGAAGAGACTTTAAAAAGGGGGAGCAAGACATGTTTAAAGAATTGTATTGCTTACTGACATTTAGAAATGGGAAGAAAGGAGCTAAAGGTGTAGGGAAGGTGGGATGGGTAGGGAAAGGATAATAAGGGAAAAGAAAAAATGTGAGATAATGAAAAGATGGAAATAAAGTGTTTGTAGATGGGGAGGGGAGGAGGGGGTGAAGGGAGGGCAGGGACAAGGGGAAAAAATGAGAACCAAGTCCTGTCATGTACAGGTACAGGATCCCAACAATGAATATAACTGTACTGTATCCCTAAAATGTACCAATAAACTCAATTAAAGCTGAAAAAAAAAGAATTTTATTGCTGATCCCTGGAAAAAGCACTAGACTGGAAACCAAGAGTTCTGTACCACGGTACTTGCACAAGTCACCTAACTTTTCTTTTTACTTTTTATTTTTTTGTTTTTGTGTTTGAGACAAGGTCTCGCTATGTAGTTGAGACTGACCTGGAACTATGTAACCCGGGCTGGCCTCAAACGAGCAGCGATCCTCTTGCCTCAGCCTCCCAAGTGCTGGGATTACAGGTGTGCACCACCACACCCGGCAGTCACCTACATTTTCTTATCTGTGAAATGAAAGGGCTGGGTTAAATTGAATACAAAAAAGTATGTCTATGCTGAAATTTTAATAACTTTTGTGTCAGAAAAATAGAAATAAAACCATCCAGTCGGGCACTTAGCTCAACAGCACTGTGCCTGCCTGGTAAGCACAAGGGTTGATCCCTGATACCACCAAACAAACAACAAGCAAAAGTGATGATGACCGACCGATGACGACACAAAAATCCAGCAAAGATTTTTTTTTTTTGGTACCAGGGATCGAACTCAGGCCCTTGTGCTTGTGAGGCAGGTGGTGAAAGCACTGAGCTAAATCCCCAGGCCCCCATCAAAGATTTTTATGTGTAGTACGCAGTTTCAGGGGAAAAGTTGGGACTGGAGATGAAGATTTAGCAGCCATTTAAGTTAAGGCAATACTTCAAGCCATGAGAGAATACAAAAGCATGTGAAAGAACAGTCAGGAAAAGGCCAAGGCCAGACAGAGCCTAAAGGAACACCCAGGCCCTGGAGTAGGTGGAAGCGGGGCCACTGAGAGACCTAGAAGCTCTGCCAGTGAGGTAAGGGAAGAATTCGGGTAGTGTGCCCTGTAGGATCCCGCGGAGGAGAGGGCAGCGTCAGTGTCAGATGACACAGAGAACACAGCCTTTGTAAAGGTCCCTGCTTTGCTTGTTGATTAGGTGGCAGCTGCACTGTAACCCTGATTCTGCAGGCTTGTGACTGTGTAAAGCCAAGTGAGGGCAGGGGAAGGCAGGCTGCAACAGATTAAGGATTTCGTGCTGAAAGGAATCAGAAAGACAGTTCTGTTGGGAGTTAGGCAGAGCACCAGGACAGTGGGGCTCCGGAGGAAGGCACTGGGGTGGCATCCTGGTGACCCTGGGTCCTTCCCTAGGGCTGGAGGGGCATGGGAGAACTATGGAGAAAAGAAGAAGGGGTACCAGTCTCCAGAGATGTTTTCAGTGAGGGAAGGCCTGGTCATGCTTACAGGGAAAATAACTCTTATGGGGAAAGAAGTAGAAGTTAGAAGATAAAGAAGGGGTACATGACACAGCAAGTTTCAGAAGAGAAAGGCAGCCAGAAGACAAACAGGCCTTCCGTAGAAAGGAGGTCATAATCTCTGAAATGAAGGGAGGTGGCAATTATTCACTGAGAACACAGGACCTGAGAAGTGGAGAAAAGATGTCTAATGAGCTGTGAGAAACATGCTAAGGAGCCAGTGAACAATGACTAAGACGTCAGAATAGTGTGATCAGCTGTCAAGGCTTAGGATGGGAGAGGAAATTGTTTTGGTGGCAACAGGGACAAAAAATATTCTCGGACTTAATTTTTTTTCGGTACAGGAATCGAACTTGGGACCTTGTGCTTGTGAGTCAGGTGTGGTATCACTGAGCTAAATCCCCAGCCCTTAACTTTTGCTGATAACACAGGGGAGGCTTCTGTAGTATAGCATACATCTAGCACCCACAGCTTTTTGAATAAGGATGAGGTCCAGTGTTTGAGTTTCCCTGCAATGCCCCAACTCTGGTAATTCTGGGGTACCCCTCCCGCTTAAAAATAGCCAACCATAGAGACCCTGTCTCAAAAAACCAAACCAAACCAAACCAAACCAAAAATAGGCAGCCACAGTGGCTGTTCTGGCTCTGTGCCTCTCCTTGGGCAGCAGCTTACATACACATTAACCCAAAAGCACCAACAGCTCCCATCAAAGCAGGGTGGCCCAGAGCAGAACCTGCTAGTCTGGGCCAGGTGGAAGATTACATGGGGGAGAGACACAAAGGAAAAGGTGCTAGTCTCTGAGCCCAAACAAAAAAATAAACAACTCTGAACCCTTAACTGTCCCAACCATGTTCCCTAGAAAAATGGCCACAAGAGTCCCTTCTTTCACAGGATCTACACGATCCCACCCAGACTCTGACTTGATAGAACTCATGTTCACAAACATTTCCATCTTCCCTGGAGCTCAGAGGCTCAAGACTGGCGTCTGAGGCAGAAAGTTTTCAATTTACCCCAATGAGCAAAATGTTTAGGTAAAAAATTTCTTTAATCAGGATTTATCTTTCCAATATTAATGCACACATTAAAAGTAAAAAATGTACAGACACATATTTACACAAATTGAAAATAACAGTGGCAGTCACATGGCCTGGGTCAGGGGCTGAGCAGAAGGGCAGCAGGCGCAGCGGGAGGATGGCTTCTCCTGTGCTGCTGCCAGTCTCCCATGCGCCTCTCTCTGGCCACGGCAGGGGGATCAGGAGGGGACAGCTTGCAGCTCCAGTCTGACGGCAGAGCTACTGGTGAACTGTGGCAGCGAGGCCCCTCTTCAGACAGTCTCTTGGGATCACCAAGGATGCCAGAAGATGCTGCAGTAGGTGGGTCTGGAGTGCTTGGAGCAGAGCAGGTAAGAGGCTGCTCTCCGTGCTGGAGGAGAAGGATGAGCCCAATGCTGGTTCCGGTGCCTAATGGACCCTGGCTAAAGGAGACAGTACCCGGGGCGCCAAGAGGCGGGTTGCAAATTGGAGCAGTGTGGATCCAAGTGAGGTTCATGGCTGGCCACTCTGTGAGGTGCCAAGGCTGCTTTGGGTTCAGAACTATATGTCCCAGCTGTGTCTGGTCCATCTTTTCCACTGGAGGTGCAAGAGAGGAAGCAGCTGGATCACTGTGGTGGTTTCTAAAATGCTAGGGCGGGGGGAAAATAAGAAAAAAAAAATTAAAGCCGGGCATGGTGGCACACGTCTGTAATCCCACAACTCAGGAGGCTGAGGCAGGAGGATTGCTGTGAGTTCCAGACCAGCCTGTGCTACATAGTGAGTTCCAGGTCAGTCTCAATTACATAGTGAGACCCTGTCTCAAAAAACAAAAGAAGACCCTCCCCCAAAATCTAAGAAAGATTTCAGACTAGTACCTCCTAGTTTATACCTTTTCTTTCCTTGGAGACTCAATTTGCAAGGCAAACTAACTATTTTGTACAACAGATAATTTCTTGTCAGGTCATGGTTAAGAAAAATTTTTAGTAATCCAGTTATACTTTCACTTACTCAACAAATAGTTGAGGACCTACTATATCCTACACATTTTATTAGACACTGGATATTCAGAAATGAGCAGAATAAAACAATCCTATAGGTTCTAACTATTTATAAAACACTTCCTTTTAGAATTTAACTGGAATTATCATTTTCCAGTTTTTGTATTTAATTTAATAAATTAATTTTGAGGCATTATGTAGTTCAGGATAGCCTTGAATTCCCTATGGAGTCCAGTTGCAATCTTTCTGCCTCAGCCTCGAGTGCTAGGATTACAGGCATGTGCAAAAATGCCCATCTTAATTTTTGCATTAAAAAAAATTTTTTTTTTGGAGACAAGGTCTCTATGTAAGTTTTCAGGCTAGTCTTTAATCCTCTATGTAGTCCAAGTGGGTCTTGAACTCAGCTTTCCAAATGCTGGGATTACAGGTTAATATTTGTATTTTAAATTCTAAATTTTCTATATTGAGTTCTTCATGAAGTACAGATTAACAGGCAGACACAATCTTGTCTTTTTTTTTTTTTTTAAGGTACTAGGTAGGAATTGAATCCAGGATCTTCACAATAAGCTACATTCTCAGCCCATTTAAAAAATTTTTTGGGGGGGCCGGGGATTTAGCTCAGCAGTTTGGTGGCCTGCCTTGCAAGCGCAAGGACCCGAGTTCAATCCCCGGTACCAAAAAATAAATAAATAAAAATTAAAAAAAATTTTTTTTTAAAGCACTAAATTGCCCAGACTGGGCTTGAATTTGTAATTCTGCCTCAGCCTTTCAGAATGCTAAGATTACAGGTATGTGCCACCATGCCCACCTCTGCTGCTTCATTTTTAATCAATTATTTCCACAGCATTAATACCTATGAACAACTGAAAACAACAATAAGACTCCCCCTACTCCCCAACCCTTTACTTGAATGTCCTTTAAATACTCTATTATTTGAAGGCATAGAAAATAGGTCACTTCTATACCAGGTTTAAGAATCTGTCAAACTCCTCCTTGTGGATGCCCCCTGGGCACCTTCTCCCCAACTCCCAGTGATGTGTCCCTAATCACTAGTCCTTGAAGCACATTATAGACTCAGAGGCTCCCAGGGGGTTTGGGACAAGGATACTTGGACAATGGTCAAAAGGGGCAGGGGCGGGGGATTTAGCTCAGTGGTTCCACCAACTGCCTTGTAAGCGCAAGGCCCCAAGTTCAATACCCCCGTACCAAAAAAAAAAAAAGAAGAGGGGAAGTTTTAGGGTCAGCAAGAAAGAAAAGATTTATAGAGAGAAGCTGAGGCATCTTTCTACAGGAATCATATAGTCAAGTAAAAAGCTTTATATATCTATGCAGAAAGCACGTAAGCTTAACACTACATATATGATTAAATTTCATGGGAGTTCCACCCAGTGATGCCAACAAAACAAAATAAAACACATCTAGGAATCAAGACAGTACCGAAAGTTTCGGCATTCCCTTCCCTGAAAGGAAACAAGTAGAAGACCCAGAAGAAGCGGGTGGTATTTCTGCACGCACACTGTATTTCTTTGGTTATTCTCCCAACTCATCGCCAGGTTTTTAAATTCTTACCTTGGTCACGTGACGCCTACTACCACCCAGTGACAACTTCTGGGCGGCTACGTGAGGAAACCAAATCTTCAACATCCCTTCCACTTGCAGCAGAGTTCCTAGATAACGCTCCCTGTGGGAGAGACATTAAAAAAAAAAAGTGTGAAAAAAGAAACAAGACAGGATTGGGAAGAGCTCCTTTTTTATCTGGTAGTGAGGAAAGAACGAGAAGGACTTACCCCATCTCAGGCTTCTGCAAAACACCCACAATACGCTGGATCCTGTCCATTGCCACACTCTGCTGGAAACTGCTCAGGCCTGGGAGCGTGGGATACAGAGCCGGGTATTAAGAACTGAGCATCCGGCATACAGTCAGGTGAAAGGACACAGAAAGAGCTAAAATGATTCGGGCAAAGTCACACAAACAAAAAAGGAGTAGTCCAGGCTCCACACGAAGACTTAAAAGACACAGACGTTGGAAAGGGCCAGAGGGAAGAGCCTGGCTTCAACGTCCAGCTAATCAGATAATTACCTCTCTCAAAGCGACCCATCTTCAGCCCGTTCAGTAGGCCTGTGAGGGGCCGTATGAAGCCTTGGAGCTCTTTACACTGCAGGAAAACAGGACACAGGCTATGAGAAGACCTAGAATTGCGCCCACCAGTAGCAGTTCTTCTACTTCCAAATCTGGGAGCCAATACTATCCTCTTAGGATCCTTACAAACCACCTGGGCGTAGAGCCATTGGAGCAGTGCCTCTTTTTTTCTTACCTTCTGAGCAAAGAGCAGGTCTCCCTCTGTGGTGCAACCCTGGATGTTTAGCTTGGTCTCCAAACCACAATCTCTTGATCTTTTCACCCCAGATCCTGCCCCTGGAGAAGCCAAGCTTTGCCATTCCAGGTGAGATGCTGTATGTTGGCTCCTGGACACTTTGGATCGATGCCTGCAGCGGACGGGACCTGGCCTGGGAACCTCCCCCTTGTCCTCCCTTTCACTCTCAGAGGGGAAACCGTAGTCACTGTTCACCGGGGAGGTGGAAAAAGGGGAAGAAAGAGAGTAGGAGCAATAAGAAGAAAAGCTAGATGGAGAATCCATAGGTCCGGAAGCAGGGGCTGGAGAACAGCTGCCGAGGACCCAAAGATCAGAACCTGCAATGCAAGAGCAGAACGGAATTTGAGACGAGTCCAAAGATGAGATTCACAGGGAGAGGGGTGAACTGCAAGGTTAACGGCTCTTTCCTTTCCCCAATAAAGACAACAGAAAAGGCCACCCCCCCATGCCCACCTCTTAACAACTGGGACAGCCTCTGGCTGCAGAAGCCGCTCGCCTGACGGCCTCTGTTCCTTTCTTTCACTCTGTTCAGAGTGAATGTCTGATTCCACACCTTCCCCTCTGCCGGCTCTCACCCGGGTTGTTCCCCAGCCCGACCCCACAGCGAGGGTCTCTGCGGAGCTGCGCCACGAGCGAGCAGTAAATCTGCGCACGAGAGCCCCCTGGACGTCCCCGCGGGAACCGCCTCCACGGAAACCGGCCTCCTGCGCTTTCCCAGTCTCAGGATCAAGATCCCTGCTCCGGTCCCTCTACAGTCGCGGCGGGCCGGTGATACCATCGCTCCTACTACCAAAATCTGCGTGCAGTCCCCCCAACCCACTTCCCTTGGGCCCGGTTATCCCCAGCGGCTCGATGTGCGTCCCCCTTACCTGTGTAGATCAGCTCCGGATTAACTCAGCAGCTCTTCTGCCTCCCGGTCTGAGCTGCCCACCTCCGCCTCCCTCAGCAGGTCCCGCCCCTTCCCCCCAGACACGTGCGGCTCTGCACGTGCCTCCCCCTGCGTACACAGATCTCTCGCTCTCATTGGTTGTCTAGCCGGCAACACGTGATTCGCGTTACTGAAGTTCACAGCCCATTTGCTGCAGCGCACAGGGGCTTGGCCAATAGAGGAGCAGCCAGGCGATGATTGGCTGGAAGGGAAGCATTCCGTGCCCCGCCCCTACATGCGGCTTAGGGAGAGGACCAGGTGGTGAGAAAAGGAGGAGGATGGAAAAAGAGTGAAAAAAGGAAGGGGAGGAAGAGGGCGGAACTTGTGTCCTTAAATAGGATGATGATGTGCGAGAGACGCACGGCTCCAGTGTTCTGAGAATGGCTGTATGACTGGAGGCGCTTGCTTCGGGAATGGGGACCTCAGGTGCTGCCCCCCTTTGAGCGCCTCCGCTCACGAGCTCGGCACGCGGAAACGCTCAGCGGTTTGAGTCTGCAACGTGTGCGGGGAGAGGAAGGCTGACCTGTGTGTCCGCTCCTCTGGGCGGCCCGGCCCTCGTGACTCCCTGGCCTCTGTCACCCTCCCTTCGTCTCTCTCTCACTCCAAGACGTTGGTGGTGCGGTGGCGTAACATTTGCAAGGCCCTGGGTTCATTCCCCAGCACCACCACCACGAAGAAAACACAAGCCCAAAAAACTCCGCCGAGTTGGGTGCCTCGTGCCCGGCCGGGTGAGGCTGGGGATTGCAGCCAAGAACACGGCGTTCAGTCCCGGGCTCCCGCTGCGGCCGCTCCGCCAGCCCATTCCTTACATAACCTGCCCGCACGTTACCAGCCCGGACGCCAGCCCGCCGAGACGCTGGAGGTCAAGGCCGAACGCGGTCGCTCCCGACTTTTCTTTCGGGATCTTTGGGCTTGGCGCCCCGAATTTTCTCATTCTGAGCACAGGGAACATAGGGTAGGTCTCGTCTCCTAGGTTAGGGTTTTGTCTAGCTCCAGTTTCTTTAACCCCTGGAGATTAGGAAGACTTTGAAAGAAGGAAAAAGACAATTTCAGAATTTTTAAGAGTCTCGGAAGTTACAGACGTGATTGTTCGTTTCCCCTTGTAGTAAGGTGTTTGCGGAGAACAATGGAAAAGAGGCTCCAGGGAACGTGGTCAGGTTGAGGATGCGACACCGGGCGGGCCGCAAGGGGGCGGTCTAGTTCCGATTAGGTTTTTTGTTTTGTTTTGTTTTTTAATGTTTTCCATAATTACAGAATGCAAAGGGTACAGGTGTAAGCCGGGAGGTGTGACTTTTAAATATGTCCTAATACAGTACTTAAGTTTTTGCACATTTAATCATGTGCTTATAAAAAGAAGTTTCTAACTAAGCCTTAATATTTTCCAAAACAAATCTCAACTCCATATCTAATAAAATAAAACAAAAGAACTAGCGGGAATTATGAGATGTGAATACGCCCGTTATCTGTGGCTGTTTCTATTCTACCCTAATTTCAGACTTATTCACACTTCAATTCCTTCTGATCTTTTGTCACCTAACTTTCTTTCTAATCCACCCCTTCTGTCCCTAAATCCTGGTGCCCCCATTTAGTGTTGTAACTTTTGAATAGAACTCTCATGAAGAAATAGACCATCCAAGTTTAATTATTTAATTAATTATTTTTGAGACAGGGTCTTGATACGTAGTTCAGGCTGGCCTTGAACTCACTATGTGGCTTGAAGTCACAGCAATCCTCCTGCCTCAGCCTCCTGAGGATTACAGGCAGGCATATGCCACCGTGCCTGGCTTATTTCACTTATTTTTTATTTTATCTTCCAATTTCCTCTTGTGAAGCCCCCGTCTACAGAGTTGAATTGGCTTCCTCTCACCTAAAAACAAAAACAAACAAACAAAAAACTTAGGGTCAGGGGACCTGGCAAGCCCCTCTGGGCCTCCCACCTCTCTGAAAACTCCCCAGGTGTCATATTCTGTGCTGGGACGTCCCTGTTCTACTTTCTAGAAAAGAAGTGTCCCTTTTTCTTTTCTGTCTCGGCTCATTCCTTCTGTTAAATCTCTTTACGCTCTGTAGTTATTTTAAATCCTAATTTAAAACACCTTCTTTAGAACTCAGCCCCCACCCCACCCCGTCTCTCCCATACCTTTGGGAGTCACCACTCGCTTCCTCTGACCTTTGTCTCCAGCCTCCAACAGGGTACAGGACCCACCCGTCTGGCCCTCTGGCACCTGCCCTCCCTTGGAATAGGCTAGAACAGGGCCAGCTCTGCTCCTCCAGGCACCCAGGAGGCCTGGAGAGGTTTCTTGTCTATTGCACCAGCTGGCTGCACTAGAGGGGCCTCAAGGCTTCCTCCCTGTTTAGAAAAATTAGTAACTTGTATCACAAAAGTCTTTGTGTCACATCCCCAAACTTCTTTAACATTAGGTAATAAGATTTTTCTAAAAATGCTCTCTCTTCCATCTGAGGAGCTGCACACTGACCAGGCTGGAAACTAGCCAGACCAAATTAGAATTTCCGCACCGCCCCCAGCCCAACAGCAATACTCTCACCTTCTACAGGACACACATCCCGCCCTGGAAGAGGACCCCCACGAGGAGAATGGGACCAGGACTCTGCAGGCTGGACACAGCAGCATTCAGGGCTGGACTCTGCTAAAACACAGACAGCCCCACAGCGGGTGGCGTCAGCCTCCCTCAGCTTCCCAAGACCCTCCAGAAGGGTAACCCCACTTCCTTCCAACTTCTGATTTTCTTCCCTCAGTCTCAGAGAAAGATCCAGCTCTCCTCCCCGCCATCACTGTGAGTGCTTCTTTCAGCCATCCTTGACCATAACAGGAAGGCCCCAACTCAACCTAAGGACGCCTACCTTTCCCCACACTGGGGATGGAACCAGGGCCTTTGCACTGAGCTACATCCCCACTCGTTTTTTACTTTCAGACAGGTTGTCACTAAGTAGCCAAATTTCCTGGGCTTGGCTTGAACTTGTGATCCTCCTGCCTCAGCCTACAGAGTGCTAGGATTACTGGTATGTGCTACTGCTCCCAGCTCAATGACTCCTATGTTTATCTGTCATGTACCTAATGCTGTGTTGGTCACTGTCCTAGGTGCTGTAAGGAGGATATAAATAAAAACACAGAAAATTGGTATAAATGGTTTTTTATCTCAATCTGATAAAAGCTACTTATGACAAACCATCACCCAACATCATACTAAATGGATAAAAACAAAGCTTTCACTGTAAAATCAGGAACAAGACAAGAAAGTCCACTGTCACCACTCTTGTTTAATAAGAGTTCTGGAAACTTTACCCAGAGCAATTAGAAAAGAGAAATAAATAAAGGGATAAGGATAGGAAAGGAAGAAGTTAAATTATCATTATTTGCAAAATACTTGATCCCATACATAGAAGACCCCAAAAACTTCATCAAAAGATTTCTAGATCTGATAGCCAATTTCAGTGGTGCAGCTGGATACAAAGTCAATATTCAAAAATCAGTAGCCTTCCTGTTCATGAAAAACAACCTCACCCAGAGAGAAATTAGAGAAAGAACCCCTTTCACAATAGTATCCCCCCAAAAAAGAAAGAAAGAAAGACAGACCTAGGAATCAATCTAAAGAAGGAAGTAAAAGACCTCTACATTGAAAATTACAGTACTCTAGAAAAGGAGATCAAAGAGGAGATCAGAAAATGGAAAGATGTCCCTTGTTCATGGATAGGAAGAACCAATATAGTGAAATGATCATACTTCTAAAATTGTTGTACAGATTTAATGCCATCCCAGTCACAATTCCAACAGCATATTTTACAGAATTGGAAAAAACAATTGTAGGGTAAGCATAGGTCCCGAGTTTGATTCCTGGTTAAAAAAAAAAAAAAATCCTAAAATTCATTTGGAACCAGAAGAGACCTAGAATAGCAAAGGCAATTCTGGGCAACAAAGGCAAGGCAGGGGATATTATAATCCCTGACCTGAAACTATACTACAAAGCAACTATGATTTTAAAAAAAGCATGGGGGAGCCGGGCGTGGTGGCGCACACCTATAATCCCAGCACTCGGGAGGCTGAGGCAGGAGGATCACTGTGAGTTCGAGACCAGCCTGGGCTACATAGTGAGTTCCAGGTCAGACTCAACAACATGGTGAGACCCTGTGTCAAGAAAACAGAAAAACCCCAGAAAACAAAAAAACAGTATGGGGGCTGTGGATTTAGCTCAGTGGCTCTGCGCTCTGCCTCAAAAGTGCAAGGTCTTGAGTTTGATCCCTGGTAACCCCCCAAAAAAGAAAGATTTTTTTTTTTTTAATGCAACGGACTACTTCTCTGCCGTAAAAAGGATGAGCTCCAGACATTTACAGCTCAATGGATGAACCTTGAGACTATACTCTTATGTGAAATAAATCGACACACGTTTGAGTGTTGCATTGTTTCTCTGGTGTGAGAAACCAAAAGTGCAAATAAAGACTAAAATTGAGGAGACTGGGTCATTAGTGTCCAAAATTGTGGGTTTCTTTCTATTCGGGGCAAGGAGGAGAGGCAATCCCTATGTCCAGGATTGAATGAGTGTTTGAGATTTTTGCCTAAAGGGAAACACATCTTTGTAACGATATTTCTTCAGTCACGGGCAAGAATCCACAGAGATCATTAGATGGGGCTGCATTTAAGAATGGTGCCTTTGAATGGCGGTCCCAGCGCCTGGCTACCTACCTAAAGGCCGGTATTTTTAACTTTTTCTAATATCCACTTACCCTGGAAGTCTGCATCCCTTTCTCCAACTGAACTCTGACTTTCAAGCTCTGAGAAAATGTCCCACAGGACGGGGCCCCTCCTTAACCATCTACCCTCCTTCTAATCTATATAAATTTCTGCCATGGCTATCTTATGTAAAATACAGTAAATTTTTTGCAGTAAAATTTTATTGTATATAGTTTCTATTAAATGTTAAAGAAAACATGAAAAAAATGAAGAGAAAGAAATAGGAAGTAGGGGGAGGTTCTAATAATTCCCAAAATTATATATTCCTGAGGTGTCAAAATATTTCAGTATATGTGCTCATTTGTTTCATTTATACCACTAGGTCCTCTTAGTTCATTGAAAAGAAACTTTTGTGCTAGTATCTTTTCTTCCTGTAAGAGTGTTTTGTCTATGACTTGTACTCCAACATTCTGGCCATTTTTTGGTTATGGTACACAGTGTATTAACTAATACATCTTCTTCTTTAACTAATACATGTTATTCTTTAATTAATTTGTTATGAAATTTTGCTTTATTTTTTCATAGGGGAGACATTATAAAATATTTTTATTAATATCTACTTGTATTACATTGAAATAAAATTAAAAATAAGAATACATGGTTCCTATCTTCAAGGCATTTATAATCTAAGGGGAACCTACTATGTACTTAAAAACAGTTGGTCTATACTTGCTTGATTTTCCTCAAAATGTACTCTCTCTAACTTGACAAAATCTAGTTTTCTCCAGCCACTCAACTAAAACTACTGTCAGCCAGGCATATGATATGAACGTCTAATCCCAGTACTCCATAGGCTGAGGCAGGAGGATTTCTGTGAGTTTGAGGCCAGCCTCAACTACATAGTAAAGTTTGTCTCAAAAACAAAGAAAACCTCCTCACTGTCTTGGGAATTGTGAATCTTCTCCTTCTCCTTGGCATCTTTGTATTTTTTTTTTTTTTTTTTTTTTTTTTTTTTTTTGTTAACTTTTCTTTTGGTACCGGGGATGAACTCAGGACCTCACACTTGCCAGGCAGGTGCTGTGCCCCTGAGCTACATCCCAGGCCCTTTGAGTTTTTTTGAGACAGGGTCTTACTATGCTCAGGCTGTCCTTGAACTCACTAGTAGCCCAGGTTGGTCTTGAACGTGCAGGTATCCTCCTGCCTCAACCTCCTGAGTGCTGGGATTACAGGGGTGTGTCACCACACTGAGCTGCTTTTTTTTTTTTTTTTAGTCAGAGTCTCACTATGTAGTTCAGGAGGGCCTTGAACTAGCTGTGATCCTCCTGCTTCGGCCTCCCAAGTGCTGGGATTTACAGGAGTTTGCTGCAATGCCTTGTTCCTCTTGGTAGTTTTTGGTTAATCAGATTAAGCTCTCTCTTCTAGACTCCTGAGGACAAACTTGGATGTTTGCCTGACTCCCTGCCAGTCACTGGATCTTCATTTTCTTAGTTGATTCCCTTTCCCATCTCTACTAACCATGAGTGCTGGTGTTGGCTTTTTGGTCTTCTGCAACCACTGGCTCTGTTGAGTTCATTTACTTGTTTTTCTTGGTGGTACTGGAGATTGAACCCCAGGGTGTTCACTTCCAGCCCTTTAAATTTTTCATGTATTTATTTAGACAGGATCTTGCTGAGTCTTTAAATTGTCCAGATTGTGTGTGAATTTGTGATCATCCTGCCTCAGCCTTCCTGACTGCTGGAATTATAGGCATGTTTATTTATATATTTTTGTGATACTGGGGTTTGAATCCAGGGATTTCAAACTAGACTACATCCCCAGCCTTTTTTTATTTTCCATTTTGAAAAAGGGTCTTGATAAATCATTAAATTGTCCAGGCTGGGCTCAAACTTGGGATCCTCCTGCCTCTGCCTCCCAGCATACTGGATTATAGGCATGCGCCACCATGCCAGGCCTGCTTTTACTTTCTTAACTGGGACTGAGCACTTAAAACTCTAGTCCTGGGCCAGGGATGTAGCTCAGCAGTACAGCGCCTGCCCAGCAAGCTTGAGGCCTTACGTTCAATTCCTGGTACAAAAAAAAAAAAAAAAACCCAAACCAAAAAACCCTCTGGCTCTGACTTAGTTCAGCTTCCTTTAGGACACCTTTATAAGGCAATCAGCATAAATTCAGCTTGGTCATCAATACCAAATTTATAACTTCCTCCTAAACCACTGCGGCTCCCCATAGTTCCCATTTTAGTTAACCAGTTTTGCAAACATGTTTAAAACCTGTAAGTTATTTTAACTCCTGATTTGTTCCTTATATGAAATTATCACTGAAACATCGCATTTTCTTTAAAATATTCTTTTTTCTCCTTTCAATTCATAACACACTTCCTTAGTCCGGATCTTGAACACTGTTGTTGGAACAATACAAATCTCACAAATCTCTCTCCACTAAATTGTATCTTGCATACACTAGGTGAGTAGCTTTTCGCAGATTCCAGTTTCATCCTGTGCTTACCATGCTGAAGGACCCTCTTGCTTTAAGTCCAAACTTCAGCCCCTCATTTCAGACTATATAGTTTACCCACTACCTTTTTTTCTTTTTCTTTTTTTGGTTTTTTTGAGACAGGGTCTCACTGTATAGTTGAGACTGACCTGGAACTCACTATATAGCCCTGGGTGGTTTTGAACTCAGAGATCCTCCTGCCTCAGCCTCCTGAGTGCTGGGATTACAGGCGTGCACCACTATCTTTTTTTTTTTTGAGACAAGATCTCCCTACATAGTTCAGGCTGCCCTTGACCTACATATGTAGCCCAGGCTGGCTTCAAACTCACAGTGATCCTCCTGCCTCTGCCTCCTGAGTGCTGGGATTACAGGCATTCTGTGCCATCACCCTAGGTTTTTAGCCGTATCTTTTTTGCTTTTGTTTTTTGGAGACAGGGTCTCAGTATGTACATTATGTAGTTCAGGCTGTCCTTGAACTCATTATGTAGCCCAGGCTGGTCTCAGAACTCATTTTGACCCTCCTGCCTCAGCTCCTAAGTGCTGGGAGTGTAGCTCTCCACCTCTCCTTCTGCTCCACCTAGCACCAGCCCTGAGATCTGTCTGGGTTAGAGATGGCTTGTCCCCGTCCTCCCGAGTCCCCACTCAACTCACTGTTTCCATTGTTGGCGGTTTCGTATCCATTGTTGGTGGTTTCGTATCCATTGTTGGTGGTTTCGTATCCATTGTTGGTGGTTTCGTGGTTACAGGATTCTGAGTGTTTTCTGGTTGTGTTTGAGGACTAATGGTGGTCTCTGTTGCTTTTGTTGTTGTCTGTTTATCCAAATTGCTCTGCCCTCAGCAGGATTGGGAAACACAGAGTTACCACCTTCTCCATTCAGCATCCTCACAGATTCTCTGTTTCAGTTCTTCTCCCCTTCACCAGCTCCCCACCCCCAGCACCCTCACCTCCAATCTGGTAATCACTTCCTAGTTTCCCTCCACCGACCTTACTTTCATTCTTGCTAATCAGTTACACTTCAACATCGCCCAGTTTCTTTTTAACTGTTATTTATCTTGACCCTCTTAGATGTACAGGTCACTTACCAATCTGTCCTCTGATTCAAATATGGAGTAATCAATGGTGAAATTTACAATAAAGTCCTCTGGGAAGGAGAAAAAAAAAAATCAATAGTAACAAAGGAAAAGGGAACTCTGGATCCAAAAATGAAACAGAAAGAAATCGTTCAAAATATTTCACCTTGATCAACTTGCAAGATTTATTGGTATAATCCACTCCTGATTAACATTAATGTTAAAATTATTTGAAGCTGGGCATGGTGGTGCACGCCTCTAATCCCAGGGCTTGGGAGGCTGAGGCAGGACGATCACTGTGAGTTTGAGACCAGCCTGGGCTACAGAGTGAGTTCCAGGTCAGTCTAAACTACATAGTAAGACCCTGTCTCAAAAAAACAAAACAAACAAATACACAAAACTATTTGAGTGGATATATGCGTGTGTGTGTGTGTGTGTGTGTGTGTGTGTGTGTGTGTGTGTGTTTATATTTTCAGCCTGGTTTCTAAGTAATTTATAAATCTGAAAACTTCCATATTGTTTCAATTATTTTCTCAAGAGTTAAAGAGCACAAGCTTAAGCAGTAACATTAGGAGTCTTTTTTTTTTTTTTTTTTTGACAGGGTGTTACTATGTTGCCCAGGCAGGCCTTCAGGGTCTCACTAGCTCAGGCTGGTCTCGAATTCACAGTGATCCTCCTGCCTCAGCCTCCCGAGTGCTGGGATTACAGGCATGCACCACCACACCCAGATTTTTTGGGGTTTTTTAGACAGGGTCTCATTATGTAGTTGAGACTGACCTGGAACTCAGTATGTAGTCCAGGCTGGTCTTGAACTCACAGTGATCCTTCTGCCTCAGCCTCCCATGTGCTAGGATTACAGGCCTGTGCCACTGTAAGACCTGAATGAGCTAAAGTGACTCCATGCTAATAGGCCAGAGACTGTACTTCTTCATATGCTAATTGTTAACTTGGTTAACAGCCTGCCCAGGAGCAAATGGTATGACAAAAGGTGACCATAGAACATTTCCTGCATAAGATAAGCAATGTGTTTGGAATCTTGTCCTCTGGTAGTTCTGTGAATGCCCTGACTTTTTGTTTAGAAAAACCCTGTGAAAAGGACCTGAGCCCCTGAGCAGTTGCCTCTCTGAGCTCCTTGGCTCCAGGAGTGCCCTCTGGCCAGACTAATAAAGGTCTGTTTACCATCTAGCCTGTTGTGTCCCTCCCTGGGTGAGTCTCATTCCTCCTTTGAGCTCCTGGGGCCTCGCTGAGCTATATAAGTCCCAGCATTGTGGAGGCCCTTTTGGCTGTTCACGGCTCCCAGAAGTAAGGCCCTGGGTCTTGCTTCCGGAGCCATCCTTGGGCTATAGGACTCAGCATCATGGAGGCCCTTTCAGCTGTTCACGCCCCATGGAGCGGAAGTGAGACTTTAGGTCTTACATTATTGGCGGCCCCAGTGAGATCCCTGGGTGGGAATTGTAAATCCAGCCGAGATTCTCTGTCATGGGATCCAGCAGGAGATTCTCAGACACAGACCTTTAAAAGCCTCCGGAGGTAAGCTTTGCACCGGTTGCAACCGTCTGTTGTCAGGATTGAGGTGGCTGACGAGCCGGGAAGCCTCCCCTGACCCAGGCCCTGACGAGGACTCCGGGGAGAATCAAAGCTGTTTTTTGTGGCGCCTATTTGTCTTGTCAGTGTCTTGTCTGTTGTGTGTTAACTTTATGTTTTCCTTGAAACAGGGATGGGAGGATCTGGCTCCAAGAACACCCCGCTGGATTGCTTTCTCACTAATATTAAATTGGCTTTTTCCCCTGAGCAGGAGGATGAATACGGAGTCAAATTCTCCAGTGGGAAGGAAGGGGCTGACACAGCCCGTATTGGGCCTCGACCCGAGTCCCACCAGAGAGAGCGACTGTCTGCCTCCTCGGAAGGGAAGAGGCGCAGCCCTGGGGTTTCCTGGGTTCCCTTTCTAGGACTGGGAAGCCAGCTCACAGGTAGTGGAACAAAAAGAAGGTGAGTGAGTGAAATTGTCTGCCTGAATGGTGAGATCCCCTGGGTTGCTCCCTAGTTTGTCTTTGGAAGGGGACCCAGGGAGGGAATGTGTTAACTTCTTGTGTGACTGTTTGTGTGAAAGAGAATTGGTTAGGAGAGTGAGTGGAACGAGCTACGAAAGCCATCAGTAGCCTCGTCTGTGCACCAAAACAAAGGGAGGGGGCGCTTGTGCTTAAAGAGCCCTCCTGGCGAATAAACGAGGCTGTTTTCTGGAACAGCAGCCCACCCTTTGTTGGTCTTGCATCACCGGACAAGGGAATATCTAATGGTCGTGGGAAGTGCTAATACTAAACCAACTGTTCTCAAGTGCATAATTCAGAATTTTGATAAAGATTTTGTGGGGGACTATAAGATAAAACTGCAACCAAAGACGCTTAAGAAACTTTGTGAGTTATCATGGTCTCAGCTAAGCCAGACTTGGCCCCCAGGGGGGAAAAAAAACTCTAGACAAAAGGAAAGTTATCGGCCTTTGTTTTGTTTACCTGAGACAAACTTGGAGCCTTGTGTGCTCTAGGAGCTGCTCAAGCTTCTGCTCCTCAGTAATCAGCTGCTAGTGAGAACTGTTTAGTTTTGGTCTTAGAACACCTGCTTGCCAAATCTGCCATTTTTCCCATGGTGAACTTGCCTCTCTCAGAAAATGTGACATCGTTGCAGGCAAATCCCGGTGTTTCCCCTTTGGAGGAGGTCGAGCTGCCTCCTCTCCACTTGAGTTGCTAAGATAAAAGGTGTGGAGGAGGTAGGGACAGAACAGAATTATTTAGCTTTACTGCACTGGAGGGTGCAGATGGGAAAGCATGATGGGACTCAGAGAAAATGGAACAGTGATTGCACTCAGATTAGAAAGAACTAAAATGAGAAAATAAATCTCTAATGGATTAAAATCAGGTAGGAAAACTCTGAAAGACAAAATACAGGAGAAAAGAACACTGCAAGACAGAAAAACTGCAATTGTGTTTTACCAGACATCGAGATTTTTACAGGAAGAATCAAATTAGAAATTTTAACTATTTGATAAATATATCTTTGTTTCAATTTGAATTAAATTTAATTGATGTGCTTAAAACACTTCTTGTGCATTGCAAATTCTTGAATTACAATTATAGGGTTAACTTGCTCTTTTGTACTTTGTTGATAAAAATTCCAGGTTAATACTGTTCTACAGGTAGCCAGTCAAATTTTAAGATATAACAATCTGAGAACAGAAAAAACACTTTAAGATTTTAACAGCTGAAGTTTGTTATAGAAGGTTAATGGTAAATGAGATAGAGGAAGATATTAGGAAAGCTATGGGTAAAAGAGATATACTTTTGATATGAAAGGATTTTGTATGTTTGTCTTGTTAGAAAGAGATAAAGAAAGATATACAAGACCAGAAGGCCTAAGTATGTAGAGAAGGTATGTAAAAATGATTTATGTATATTTGCTTGTTGGTTTCAAGTTTGTTACAGAAGGTTTACTTTCATAGTAACAAAGAGCTTTCATTTCTTTTGATTCTAAGTCTATGAGATCTGTTAATTGACCTGCAAAAGTTTTGACTAGTCTTACCTAAAAGAGGTTTTAGGGCTGGAGATTTATTTAGCTCGATGGTGCTGCCACCTGCGTTGCAAGCACAAGGACCCAAGTTCAATCCCCAGTACCAAAAACAGAGAAAAATAAGAGAGATTTTATAATTCAATTGGCCAAATACATTTGAGTAATATTATAGTTTCATAAATTGTCTTATGTGTTTGTCTGTCCAATTGTTTGAAAAGTGTTTGTCCAATTATATTTTGATTGAAATGACAGCAAGGATACTAATAATTTGTTAATTTCTATAACCTGGTTTTATAAGTTAAAATTTTGTCAAGATAATTAAGTATAAACTCAGGTCTAGATAGACTCCTGCTAAAAGTAAAAAGGACAGCTACTCAGAAAAATTAATTCTGGTCTTTATTCACTAATGGTCTTCTGAGAAGATATACCCCCAGGAAACATGGCTAAATATGTTGTTATAGAATGTTTATATTGGTTATCATCAAAGGGTTAGATTCTAAATATGTTATTGTGATATGTTTATACTGCTCATTTTCAAAATAGGATTTCTGTGGAAAAATAGTTATTAAGAGGTTCTATTAAAAATGCTTTTGATACCTAATTAGATTAAAGGGCATAAAGTTTCATACATAAAATAATGATTATTGTTAATTTTTGGATGTACTAAATAAATAAAAAACAGGGTATTGAGAGACTATTAATGCTGCTTCAGGAGGCAGGATATAGTTTATGCTGCTTGGAGATAAAAGGACTTAAAGCAGATGAGAAAATTTTTCAAATAAAGGTTTTTTACAGGATCTAGATTCTCTATATGTATAAATCTTTGAAGGGGCCAGAAAGATAGTGATTATTATAGGGTAAAGAGCAAGAGTCAGCATTTAAATAGCTAAAACTAACTCTCTCTGCTGCCCCCTATATCAGGGATCCTAAATGTGACCCAGCCTTTTAGTTTGTACCTGACTGAAAGAAATAATACTGCTTTAGGGGTGCTCATTAAAAGAGTAGGCCCATAGAATTAGCTAGTGACATATTTATCTTAGAGTTTAGATCCAGCTGTGAAGAAATAGCTCCCTTAAGCCCTGGCAGCTGCAGTGATGCTAATTAAGGAAGCTGACCAGGTAACATTGGGAAAAAGTAAAGTATTCGGTTTCCCCATGCCTTTTAGAACTATTGAATAACAGGACATTGATGGCTCTCAAATAATAGAGTCACATAATATCAGGCCCTCATCTGTGAAAATCCCCGCCTATATTTTGCTCCAGTTAAAATCTTAAACCCTGCTACTTTTTGCCCTCGGAACCTGGCCCCCTGACCATGACTGCCTCAGGGTCACTGAGGGGAATTGTTCTCCAGTCATCCAGATCTGCAAAAAGACCTGCTGCCTAAGGCTGATTTTGTCCTGTTCAAGGATGGGAACAGCTTCATGGACAGTGGGGTACGCTATGCTGGCTATGCAGGGATGACTCAAGATGAAGTGGTCCAAGCAGGACCCCTCCCCACTGGATGAGCAGAGCTATGGGCACTCATACAGGCTCTCCGATGGGCAAAAGAAGAGGGTAAATATTTATACAGATTCCTGTTTGCCACCTGGTATATCTATGGCACAGTCTATAAAAGTGTGGTCTTCTCACAGCAGGGGGCAAACTTATTAAAAATAAACAGGATATAATATAGTTATTTGAGGCAATGTGAAAATCTGACAAAGTAGCTATAATAATTCAAGAAAGAAAAGATGCAATAGCAACTGGCAATGCTAAGGTAGACATATAAGCCAAAAGAGCCACTAAGCAGAAACTTTACATGATTATACCCACCCCTGTAAAGGTTATAAATATGTGTTAGTATGGGTTTGTACTTTTCTGGATGACCTGAGGCCTTCCTTATAAAAACAAAGAGGGCTTCAGAGATACGCAAGATTTTATTTAAAAAAAAAATTCCAAGGTTTGGTCTGCCTCTCCATAGGCAGTGACAATGGGCCAGCATTTGTAACAGAGTTTGTACAAGACCTAGCTAGACTGTTATATTGCCTATTGACCTCAGAGTTCTTGTAAGGTTAAAAAAATGATAAATTATAAGGTAAATATTGTCAGACAACACTGGGGTTATGAGTTTATCGGCTCCCTTTGGCCTTCTTTAAAATTAAGAGATACCCCAAGTCATACAGGGTTCTCCCCATATGAGGTCTTGTTTGAAAGGCCACCCTGTATCTTGAGAGACCTTATAAAATTATCTCAACTGGGCTTATCCAGTATGAAATCACAGCGGTTAGAATTGGGCAAGTATTTCAAACTATTCAAGGGTAAATTAAAAATAAAGAGGACCTTCCTGTGCTAACTCCTGCACATCTGATAAAACTTCGGGACTGAATTTATGTTAAAAATTAGAAAAGGACCCCTTTCCAACCTATATGGGGAGGGCCATATGAGGCACTTATGGTTACTCCCACAGCTGTCAAGGTAGCCGAAGCTCAGCTACCACTGCTCTAGAGTAAAACAGAATTGCACGGATTCCGACTCCAGGAGACAAGCCACTCAAAGCCCTGCTCTCACCACACTGGAAGCTGGTGAGTCCACGCATGGCTGAAGAATGAAAACTGCAATCAAGATATGGACTCTTTTATATTGTGTCAAACTGTGATGAGCTATTATGCTTCTAAATTAGAGTTTATGAGCCTAGAGATGATAACAATGTGACCTTTATGTGCTCTGGGGATCCTAATCCCCAACTTATCTGTCTAAAAAGATGCCTTTACAAATTGCTATGACCCCTTAGCTAAAAATTTAAGTAAAATGATGAATCAAGGATTTGATTCTAACTAAAATCAGTGGGGAATGTAAGACCTGAAGGAGCTAAAGTGACTCCTTGCTAATAAGCCAGAGACTGTGCTTCTTCGTATGCTAATTGCTAACTTGCTTAACAGTCCGCCCAGGGGCAAATGGTATGACAAAAGGTGACCATAGAACATTTCCTGCATAAGATAAGCAATGTGTTTGGAATCTTGTCCTCTGGTAGTTCTGCGAATGCCCTGACTTTTTGTTTAGAAAAACCCTATAAAAAGGGTCTCAGCCCCTGAGCAGTTGCCTCTCTGAGCTCCTTGGCTCCAGCAGTGCCGTCTGGCCAGACTAATAAAGGTCTGTTTACCATCTAGCCTGTTGTGTTCCTTCCTGGGTGACTCGTTCCTCCTTTGAGCTCCCGGAGCCTGGCTGAGCTATAGGTCCCAGCATCGTGGAGGCCCTTTCGGCTGCTCACGCCCCCGTGGAGTGGAAGTGAGACTTTAGGTCTTACACCACCACGCCCGATTTAGGAGTCTTGATAGTTTTTATTCATAGCCAAATTTCTCTCTGACCCTATTGCATGTGTGAAGGGCAAAGTCTTAGAACGAAGCAGTCCCAAAGCCTCTTCCACTCAGGGAAGGGCTGGAGCATACTCACCGTAAGTAGGGGTGACAGTGTAATAATATATCACCTGATAATATTCATCCTCTACCAGTCCCTCTTCACCCTCATATTCTTGACCTGTGGGGAAAGGACTAAGGGTCAGGGAATATTGGGGCCACCTTGGAATAGAACCTGCATCCAGCTTGTCCTGTTTTCCTTCTTTCTGCCTCGATTCCAAGAGCCACTGCCTCTGCTCTTTGAATACTCCTTGGTCTTCTGGGCTCCGTATTTGTAATACGGCTTGCTACTCTGTGCTAGCCCTTCCTTCGTTTCTTTTTTTGGGGGGTAGGCACTGAGGATTGAACCTGAAGCTTTCACACTGAGCTACATCTCCAGACTTGTGAGTAGCGTGGCTACTCTGTGCTTGTTCAGTCCGGGAACTCCTAGGACAGAAAGTGTGTACAAACCCAAAGAGAGAATAAAACCTAAAAAAATAAAAAGACAGACTAGAAATGAAAAAACTTCGAGCTTGTGTTCAGTATGCCCCAGAATTTAATGTATTTGTGAGACAGCTTCTCTTGTCAGCGTCTCTTTAAAAATAACATACTCAGCCGGGCATGGTGGCACGCACCTGTAATCCTGCCCTCAGCAGGATTGGGAAACAGAGTTACTACCGTTTCCATTCAGCATCCTCACAGATTCTGTTCCAGTTCTCCTCCCCTTCACCAGCTTGGGAGGCTGAGGCAGCGGGATCGCTGTGAGTTCGAGACCAGCCTGGGCTACATAATGAGTTCCAGGTCAACTACACAGTGAGACCCTGTCTCAAAAGACCAAAACCAAACAAACAACCCCCTCCCCACATACTCTTAGGCTTTTAGGTTTGGATTTTGGTTCACTACTAACTCGCAGAATAAGTTTGAACAAGTTATTTAACATCTGCTTAATGATTCAGCCAGACTAAATGCGCCATCTCTGTTATTTTTGTTTGTTTTGCTATTTATTGAGGTAGATATTTTTGTACCAGAGATCGAACCCAGGTCGTTGTGCTTGCAAGGCAGGCAGCAGAACCACTGAGCTAAATCCCTGGTCCATTTATGTGGTTTTTTTCAGACAGGGTCTTGATATGTAGTGCACCCTGGCCTCAAACTTGCAGGATCCTCCTGCCTCAGCCTACTGAGTGCTAGGGTCACAGGAGTGTACCACACACCATGCTTGGTTCTGTTAGTTTTTATTGCTTTCAAAACTAAAAATACGTGGCTTCATGACTGAATCAATAACTCGGGGCTTCCTGCTAAGCACTTCACTGAGCTAGCTCCTTGGCAGCTTTCCCTCCAACTCCAAGCTAATGACATAAGAATCTGGGGTGTTGGGGGTTGTGGGGAAACAATGAGACACACCTGGCAGACTAGGAAACAGGAGGGAAGGAGCCAAGCTATTCTAGGGCCCCAGTCCCTGAAGGCAGTCGCTTTTCCATACCCTAAAGGCCAATCCGGTCTCCCCACCCTACCCCCACTTACTAAGAGGTCTTCCCCCCTGCGGTCTGGGAAAGGAGACACCCCGGCTTCCCTCACTAGTTTCAGATCGCGCCCCTTCCAAGGGTCTACACCTTCCCTCCTCTCTACTTGGTCCCTCCTGCTGTTCTACTTTGGGGATGGAAGCCGGAGTCTGCTCTTGCTAAAGGACCGCCCTCTGCCCGCGACCCCAAGCTCTGTAAGCCTTCTGGTCTTTGCCAGGACTCTGCCTTCCAGACCTCCACAGCCCCTGCTCCGGGCGCCAGCAGAGATGAGCTCACCCCGCTCTGAACGGCACCTCGCATTGGGTCCTCACCGTCCTCATGATTGAGGACCTGGTGCAAACGCTCGGGGACAAGGGGGGACTTACCCAAGATAAGTGGCACCACAAGGATGGCTACGAAGAGGACATCCATTCTGGATTTTGCACTGTGGCTGTGGAAGTCCAAAGGAAGTTACAGCGTTTCCCACCCAACTTTCCCCGCCTCCCCCACGGCCCCAGGCTGGGAGAGAGCCGCGGGGACTCTTCCCTCAGGGGCGGGACTCCCCGCCCACTCTCTCTGCACATCTTCGGCCACTACCGGTCCTCAGCTGAAGCTGCCTGATCCCAAGAAGCAGAGGTGGATTCGGGCACTTTTGTTCCTCGAGCTCCTCCAGCCTTGGACTAGGCCCGTGCGGGACACCCGAAGCCGCCGCCAAAGAAAAGCCGACCAATAAGCTCACCTCTCCTCCCCTCCCCCGGGTCCTCTTGAAAACCCCACCCTCCCTCTTGCTGTCCCCAACTCACCATCGCCATTCAGAGTTGCCTTTTTCTTGCCGGCTTCATCATAGCCTCTTTCATCACCTTAAAAACGATCAGAGGAAGAAGTGGAAATTTTTTCCCCTGGGCTGAAAATAGCCCCTCTCCACCCCGTCTGGGCGGTGGAGGATGGGCGCGGTATGTACCCATCGTTGTTCCGCTCTGAAGCACCTGCTGTGTGCTCTGAGGAAAATCTCCGCCAGGGCTGGTTACTTCCTCTCTGTGCAAGCCGGCCTGACCCCGCTGTTCTCAATGTCCTGGACACAGCACAGCAGAGAGGAGGCGGCAGATCCTTCTCCCTCTGGCCTACGCCGTGCCCTCCTTCCTAGCCTGCTCCCTTCAGGCCTGCGGCAGCAGAGTGCTCATCTCTCTGCCTGCTTCTTTAGTCCCTGTTTCCACTCGATTCGATTCAGAACCAGTAGCGTGCGCCAGGCATAGTGGGCTGGGTCTCATCGGTTAGGCGATTCAGAGCTCCCGGGCAAGGGGTTAAGACAAGAACTGGTTTTTGTTTTGTTTTGAAACGGAGTTGACAAATATCTGCTGTACATCTCCTGTGAGCCAGGCACAGGGCGAGTGTGTGTGGACCCACCCGGAACGAGATAGGCAGGGTGCTCTCGACCTCAGGAGACGCCGTACCTACACCTCACTGGAGAGGTCTTGTCTCCTTCCTGTCTCTTCTCGCCTGGGCTCAGGAGCCCGGCACACTGGAGTCTCCAGCGCTGCCCATGTTGCTGCAGTCCCGGTGACTGTGTGCCCTGGTTCCTCGGCCCCTTTCCAGAATGTCATGGAGGACACGTGAAACACCCATGTGACTGCAAATATATTCATGAAACCACAAATCGCCTCTGGGAAGCCTGTTTGTTTTCAACTTCTACAGTTTTTTGGTACTTTGTTTACGTTCTGAAAAACAACATTCTAGATTGCGCTTTCCCATCCGAAGACTCCTTCACGTAAGGGCCGATTCCTCCTGTCTAGCTTGCTTTATCTCTTCATTTTCCAGAGAGTACGCAGAGGAAGTATAAGTATAAACGGAACTGACCGGAGGCGGGGTGGCGGCGGCAGGGGTGCGTGTCGTGTTCCCTCGGCTTCAAGGCTCTAATGGATTTAACTTCTGAATTCCTTCTAAACTCCCTAACATTTCTCCCAGGTGCCTTCGGCTTTTTTAATTCCATCATGACCTATCACAGATAAGGATTTATTAGCGAAATACAGCGTTCCGCATTTCCTACGCTAGTCTGTCCAAAGGACTCCTACTTTCAAATCTTAACTTTTATCCTTAAGGCAGCAGCTCTAGCCCATTTCCTTTCATTCAAGTAAGAACAATGCTCGTCCCTATCTCCCCGCACCCTCTATCCTGTGCTGGTTGTATTTGTCTCTTAGATTAAACAGGATCTTGCCTCTCCGCAGCCCTTCAAGAAGATAGGGTAGACCGATGTGGTGGCGCAAGTCTGGAAATCTGTAATACCATCACTCTGGGAGGCAGAGGCAGGAGGACCCCAACTTCTAGCCCAGCTTGGACAACTTAGCGATTTAGCAAGACCCTGTCTAAAAGAAAATGGATTGTCATCGCTCTTCCCCAAAAATCGTGGCCACGGTGCAACAGAACACATGAATCGGTGCCTCCACCGGGATCAGGGATCAGCCTCGGCTCATTCTCTAAACAGCTCCAGCCACTTCCAGGGCAAGGTCGAGAGCACGGACCACTGGAGACTACAACTCCCAGTAGGTTGCGCAGCCACGCCCCGGCCATTGCAGCTCCGCCCCCGCCGATTCCTCATTGGCTTCCCAGGGCGGGGATTAGATGGGAGGTGGCCATGGAGCTGCGGCCGAGGTTTGTCCTCTTCTCGGCTTCCGTAGACGAAGTCGGAGGGACTTCTCTAGGGTTGCGGCGCCCCCGCCTTCCCCGGGGTTCGGGGGTGACATTGCACCGCGCCCCTCGTGGTGGTCGCGTCGCCACCACACACAAACTCCCCAGCTGGCGCGCTCCTCTCGTTTGCCTCCCTTGGCCGGGGTACGAACCCGCTCCCCAGCTGCCCCGCCATGGGGGCTGCAGTGTTTTTTGGTTGCACTTTCGTCGCGTTTGGCCCAGCCTTCGCGCTGTTCTTGATCACGGTGGCTGGGGATCCCCTTCGCGTTATCATCTTGGTCGCGGGGTGAGTAGGAGGTGGTAGAGGGACGGGAGAACGTGAAGAAGCAGAGACGCGGAAGGGGTTGGAGGAACTTGGGCGAGCTGGGGAGGCTGAGTTGGGGGATTTAAGTCGCTACATAGGTTGGACAGGGTCAGGTGGGGGATCTGGGTCATTTGTCTTTTCCTGCAATTGGTTTCCGCCTTCCAGGGACGCACAGATTCCTCCTACACGCCTCCCGGCGACGTCAGAGGAGGCCCAGGGCCGAGACTCGGGACTGACCTGGGCCCCGCTGGCCAAGCACTGAGGGAGGATCCAGGAATGGATACCTCGCCCTTCTGTGCCCTCACACTCTGATTTCATCTGTAATCAGATTTCTACTCCTTCCTCTCCGTTCAGATTTCTACAGAGGAGTCGCTAACCTTATGTGATCCCTGTTGCTACGACTGTCCCTAAGTCTACCACTTCTCCTGCTGCAGCCTTGGCTCGTCCCCCTTTCCCCTAATTTCTCTAGCTGCCTCTACACTTGCCTGTCTCATTACCCCTATCTTTTCTCAGGGCCTTTTTCTGGCTGGTCTCCCTGCTTCTGGCCTCCGTGATCTGGTTCGTCTTGGTCCATGTGACAGACCGGTCAGATGCCCGGCTCCAGTATGGCCTCCTGATTTTTGGTGCTGCTGTCTCTGTCCTTCTACAGGAGGTGTTCCGCTTTGCCTACTACAAGCTGCTTAAGTAAGAAGATGGGGAGATCTGGAGGGGAGAGGAGCAGAGGACTGTCCATTGGGAAGTGGGGCAGCCCCTGGTGGTGGTTTGGAAGGAGAGGCACTAAGGGAGGACATTAGAAGGAAATGAGTGTCCCAGCCTTTCCTCATGTTTCGCCTACCCCACCCACCCCAGGAAGGCGGATGAGGGGTTGGCATCGCTGAGTGAGGACGGAAGATCACCCATCTCCATCCGACAGATGGCCTATGGTGAGCCAGGAGGGACTGGCGGAGGGACTTGGACAGCCCCCTCCCCTGGGGAAATCTAACTATCCTCACGTTCTAAGTTGTGTCTTGTTTTCCTCCATACCTGACTTCCAAGGAGAGATGGTCTGGAGGGAGACAATGGGAGGGTGCTGGTGCTGAGGTTCCCACATTGACGAGACCCTCCCTTCCCCCAGTTTCTGGTCTCTCCTTCGGTATCATCAGTGGTGTCTTCTCTGTTATCAATATTTTGGCCGATGCACTTGGGCCAGGTGTGGTTGGGATCCATGGAGACTCACCGTATTACTTCCTGACTTCAGGTAAGGCTCACTTCCAATCTTGCCTTCATAGCCGGTTTGTCCCTAGCCCTGGTCTCATTGGCTGGCCTTCCCTGGGAGATTTCTTTGGCTCAGCATCTCAGGAGGCTGGGAGAAGATCAGGGATGTATCTCATCCCCATCTCCCTCCCTGCAGCCTTTCTGACAGCAGCCATTATCCTGCTCCATACCTTTTGGGGAGTTGTGTTCTTTGATGCCTGTGAGAGGAGACGGTACTGGGCTTTGGGCCTGGTGGTTGGGAGTCACCTACTGACATCAGGACTGGTGAGTCGGAGATAGGGGCCTGAGTTAGTTAGGGCGAAAAGCCTTTAATGGTGAGTGGGATGGAGGGTGTCTTCACTTCTGAATTAATTTATCTTGGGTAGAGGCAGAAAGATGAGACCTCAGAGGTCTGTCACCTCGGTATCAGTTATATCAGCTGCTCTGGGGGTTCTCGGGGGAGGCATTTGAATGGATTAGTTAAACTGGAATGCAGAGGGCATGAGGTGAGCAGGAATGGCTGCAGCCTTTAAGGGACTTGAAAATCAGGTCTCCTTACACATAAGATACTGGTCCTCAAAGGGAAAGACTGAGGAATTTGGTGATGTACCCGGACAAGGTGTAGGTCAGAGGCACAAAGAAATGCGGGGATCGGGTAGGGGGAGAATCTAACCTCTTTTCTGCACTTACCCTCATTCCTAGACGTTCTTGAACCCATGGTACGAAGCCAGCCTGCTACCCATCTATGCAGTCACGGTTTCCATGGGGCTCTGGGCCTTCATCACAGCGGGAGGGTCCCTCCGAAGTATCCAGCGCAGCCTCTCGTGTAAGGACTGACTACCTGGACTGACCGCCTGACGGCTCCCGCCTGCCTGCCCACTGCCCGTGTCTGAACCCAGCCCCCACCCGGGTCCATTTCCCTCGTGCTCTGTCTCCTCGTCGGTCTGTCCCACCACCTTCAGGCTTTTGCGTTGTCCCTTTGTGACCTTTGATGTCTTAGCTTTACCACTCATTGACTGGTGGGTTTGAACCCTCACTTCTCCCCCCCACCCGGGGACCCCGTGTCCAGGACTCCCCGTGTGTCAGTGCTCTGCTCTCAGCCTGCCCGTGACTCACCCCCCTTCCCCTCTGCAGGCCGACGGCAGGAGGACAGTCGGGTGATGGTGTATTCTGCCCTGCGCATCCCACCCGAGGACTGAGGGAACCTGGGGGGGACCCCCGGGCCTGGGGCGCCCTCCTCCTCGCTCTGTATTTCTCCATCTCCAGTTCTGGACAGTGCAGGTTGCCAAGAAAAGGGACCTAGGTTAGCCATTGCCTTGGAGATGAAATGAACGGAATCTCAAGGGTAGATGAACTCCCAGTTTTCTGGTCCCCTCTCCACAGACTGGATGTCCTGGTCTTTTTCTCAGGTCTGAAGGGAAGCATTTTTGGTGTGATAAAGACCTCGATTGCCTTTTTTTTGTGGAGGGAGGGCGGAGGTATGGTGAAGCTCTTCTAACCTCTTGGGCTCTATTTTCCCTCCTCAAATTGCTCCTGTTGGCTGGGCTTATTTCTATCCCTTTTCTTCTCCGTCCCAGGCCCTGGGAGAAAGGAAGTGCATGTGTGGGAACTGGCATTACTGGAACTAATGGTTGTAACCTCCTTGACCACCAGCGTCCCTCCTCTCTCCAAAGTGCAGTGGAGGGCGCTGGGGGAGCCTGTGGTGCCCCTGGCGGGGTCAGACTACTGTGGCACGGCAGGGAAGGAGGGCAGAGTTTTTTCTAGTTTTTAATTGGGGTGGGGTGGGGGCTGGGGAGGTTTTCTATCAACTGTATCATTTTCTGCGAGGGTGGTGTCCCATCCTTTTAATCAAGGTGATTGTGATTTTGACTAATAAAAAGGACTTTATAATCGTGGGGGACTTGGTTTTAAGGAAGGGGATAACATATTAATTGAGATTCCTGCTCTCCCATATCTCTTATTCTGATTCCTTCCTAACCTGGCAACCACTGATCTCCAAGCATAGCTGTGGTGCCAGGCCAGAAGTCTGGGTTGGTGGTTTAAGTGTCAGACACTTTAAACTAAGGTTTTTCCCAGAAGTGGGTCTCCCCTGTCAGCGGTGGGATAAAAGGAGTTAATCACTGTGCTGCTTTTCCCCTCCCCTTTGCCCATCTCTGGCACCCGAGGGATTAAGGAACTCTTGTACCCTCGAAGGATAGCCCAGAGAGAAGGTCAGAAACTTTAATTTCCAAATATATTGAGCAAAAAAATATCATCCCAGCAGCAGCCCTTTTCCTAACGGGAGATCCTGCAACGTATTTAGGGGAAGGGGTGTAAGGTGAAGAGTTGGGAAACTTTGGATATTTCCGGCTTCTACAGCTCAGCAAAAATAGTTTGCCCTCTGTATTCATACACACAGATCCCTGAGCTCCTATGTTTTCAGACACTGAAGGCTCTGCTGTTCTTCCTCGAAGAAGAACCGGGGAACCTTACCTCTCTGTGGGGCTGTCCACAGAGAGAGAGGGCAGTCTGCCTACTACTCCTAGCCGTATTTTCTGACCAGCCTCTGCACCCCACTTGGGAGGCTCCCTGACAGGTGTGACCACCAGCGTCGCTCCTGTGGCGTGAAGGGAAGGCATCCGTGTCTGAGAGGGAGTTTAGGCCTCTCTGGTGGCTCCAGCTGAGGTGAAGACCACGCTCTTCCGGTTTCCTAGTCTCTTCTTCCTGGGAAGGGGATTAATGGCTCATGGGAGTGACTAGTGTCCCAAAGTGAAGCAGATTAGGGATGGACCAGGAGAATGTTTTCTAACAGAAAAGGACGGAGGAATGGAAAGGAGAACCTCACCGAATCTTCCTAGCGATGAAATAAACAGCCAGCAGAAGGCAGAGACAGCCGAGCAGGATTCCCACACCTAGACTCAGCATTTCACCTGGGGGAGGCAGTCGCGGGAGGTGTCAGCCCAGACTAACCTAGACCTTGCCCACGGCTGGGGGACTCTCGCCCCATCCCGAAGGTCTCTCACCTGTGGTGTACAGGGGCCCCACTGGAGGGGAAGGAAATGTGGGTCAGCGGGGCTTCAGAGTCCGTCCCAGCTGGGAACAGCCTGCTGCTGATCTGCTGGGACAACCACCTGGGCATGGAGGGCTGGGGCTGGTTCCCCGGGCGTCCACATCCAGTGAGCTGGAAATCCCTTTCCTCCCAGGGCCTCACTACTTCCTGCCGTTGAGTCCCTGGCTTTCCCATCACTTCTGAGCCCCACGCGGTCACCTTGGGCAAAAGAAGCAACGACAGTCCGCTGATTGAGAGGCTGGGGGGCTCGGTAGTTCTGCACCAGGGCCTCCGAGGGCTCCTCTTCTGTGGAGAACAGTGTCTGCTGAAGCCTTTCCAGCTGAGCAGAAGAGTGGGAGAAGTCACTTTGCAGACCGGGAAAGGGGCTGATGTCACAATGGGGGCCCCTTGCCCTCCCCACCACTCACCTGGCCCACTGAAATCTGGGCCCTGCGGTTGAAGACTGTCCAGAGCACGCTCTGGTAGCAGGGGGGCGTGGTGAGCGAGCCGTTGTAGCGGAAGAACTGCTCCAGCTGTGGGGGGAGCAGCTCTCTCACACTGAAGGGAGGCACGGAGGTTGTCTGATCTGGGGAGAACAGACTAGGACTGATCTCTGCGCTCTAGCTAACCTGGACACAGTTCCCCAAAGCAAAACCCACTGGCTCTAGTTTATTGCTTTCTCCCAGAACTTATAGATCAGGGTGGTTTTTTTGTCTTTGGGTGGGGGTACTAGGGACTTTCACACTCAGACTTTTCCACTAAGCTACATCCTTAGGCTTTTTTTTTTTTTTTTTTTAAACGTTTAAGACAGGGCTTCTAAGTCACC